TCGAACCGCTGAAGTGTCGACCATTTCTGGCCGGCAACTTTCAGTGTCATTAAGCCGCTGCGCCACCACGTCCCTAGTGCTGTCACCTTTACAGCCTGAGAACTTAGAGAGGGTCCCTTCTGAGCCTCTTGCTCCACCCACTGTGCAGCTGTGGGCTTTGCTGTCTCTTATCTGACCATTCCCTAGGCAGCATCTCTTCACCCCATCTCCCATGGTCTTTCCCACATACCATTACACACTCAGGTAAAATATTGCTGCTGCGGTTGCTGCTGCTCCTGCTGCTGCTATTATTATTCTCCAAACAGAGCAAAGTATTTTTAACCATGATTGGTTAATGAATCTTTGATTTTGCTTCCCCCAAATAAAGGCTTGCATGATCTCTTGTTTAAATCTAAGTTCTGGAGGATTGATTGGTTGAGTCTTGTACTGTATACTGTGAATACCAAGTCATAAAGGAGCTCCTTTGTATGCCTGTGCAAAATGCTTTAATTCAAAATATTTTGATCCTGAAACAGCCAGTTTTTAAATCAAAGCAGGTTGTTCCAAGTTTACTGGAAGCATTCTAATGCTATGTTGACAGCTCCAGCTTGAAGCAGCTAGGTTTCAAGGCCAGAACAGTATTGAAACACTGCTAGTAAGTCTGAAAAGAGCATTTCAAGCTTGAGACATTTTGAATTTAAAACATTTTGTAATCATTTTTCTTTTTCTCAAGAATGGTTGAAAGAAAGTCCTAAACGAAACATATTTTGCAATAATCCTTCTACCTAAGAACATTTAATGAATTTCTGCAAAGGTCTGCACAGTTTAAAAATTAAACTTACGGCCTTGCAGATTTAATTTCCAGAGTTCCTATAATCCTCAGCAATTTGGCAGTATTCCTTCCCTCACAATCCTATTTTATTTAATAAAATTTTAGTATTTACATCTCTGCAGTTTTTATCAATGATGGCATCATTAATGTGTGTGAGGCATCTGCTGGGAACTATCTATGTACTGTAAAACACAAGATATACTACAAAAGGAAAATAAAATACTAAAGGAAGAATGAATGGAAAGGAAAATAATGCTTTAGAATTTAGGGACAGAGCCAGATTTGTGTCTCTTTTCTTATTCTATTCTAAACTATGGGGTACAGTTTTACCAGGTAGCTCCTGGTTACCTGAGTTGGGGCACAGGTAAGAAAATGCCTCTTTTTTTCCTTTGCAGTTTGTATCTTTAGTTTGTATTTTTTAATTTTTTAAAGTTTCTGTTTTTTGTAAGATTAATTATTGTTTTGTTAGAAAAAATAAAGATATTAATTTTTTTAAATGCCTCTGTTTGGCTTTGCAGTCCCAGTTTTTCAATTAATTTAAATTAAAATAGCCAAACTACTTAAAGCCCAAATCAGCTCCAACCATCTGCTTTAACATCACAGAGAAGGAAGGAAGGAAGGAAGGAAGGAAGGAAGGAAGGAAGGAAGGAAGGAAGGAAGGAAGGAAGGAAGGAAGGAAGGAAGG